AGGGCACTAGCGGTTCCTTACAGAGTTCATCTACAAAAGATGTTACTGAACTACCTACATATAACTCTCTTAGAGATCATCAAGAAGCGGAAAACGAGTCAAAAAAATCGGAATCAGTAAACTCTATAAAGCTAAGTGCCATCTTTCCATTGAATCACCAAAACTTGGAACCAAGTTTTGATTTTACAGCAACCACACAGTAAGGATAAAAGAGGCGAGAGAGCTATAAACGCAGTCGAGATGAAGTCACCAAAACTCGAAGCCAAAGGTGCACCAATTAAAAGTGACAAAAGCCAAGATATAGCAGGAAGAAGAGATCACCAACAACAACAACAAATAATCTGTTTTTTATATGATTTTTTAACATATTGTGTTATTAAATAAAATAGCGTAAAATCCCATATACAATATTTTTGAAAAATCACTTGCTATAAAAGAACCATTATCTGGCATCTCCCAAATTTGTAAAAAGTTAAAAATAAATCATGGTCATTTAATTTTGTTACTATTTAAATTCTAAATTCTATAGAAATATATGGTAATTTACATCAAAAAGGTTATTTTCTCCACAATTCAACATTCAACCATATTTACTTCCACAAATACATATCCAGATACGACATTCAATTTTATAATTCATTCACCTTCACTTTCATTCCACCAACTCCTTAATTAATCACAGGTCAAAACCTATGCTTATACTATTATAATCTAAACTTATTCAACACATTATTTTATTTATTTTCTCACGAATTCAACCGTATTACTCATGCCTCAATGAGATGCATAATGATGTCATGTTCATATTATACTATTCTCTTTATACCAAAACCAATTTCTCATCTCTCTTCCTCTCCAAATTCATAGACATTTTCCCCATAGAAAAAAAAAACACAAAAGTTCAAGAACAAAGATTTTGTTTGTTTGTTATCTCAAAACATGAATCCTTCACAAACAATCTCAATTCTCTTCTTGTTGTTCATCATCATCTTCTTAGATTATGTCTCTGCTCAATT